AAAAAAAAAAGGTGGGGACCAGGTTTGCTGGTCGGATAGAGCCTGGCCTGGTCGAACCACTGAGACTATGGGCCCTAGCTGCCCTTCAGGTCTGGAAGTGAACCCACATCTGTGGTTTCCAGCCAAACAAAAGACAGGCATATGAGTTGAATATTTACCTCAAGTAGATATACTCCTTGGAGAGAACGATCATGGGAGAAAGAAGGGCTGCTTATGCACAGGGAGACAGGAGTGTATGGAGGGATGGACACTGGGAAGAGGTAACTATGGGGAGGAAGTGTGAGGGGAACTGTTGGATTGTGGTAAACTGTGGTCAATGACATGAGATAAAGTATATGTGAACTGCTGTATGGAAAGTGAATTTGCTCTGTAAATTTTCACCCAGAGCAAAATAATAAATAAATAAATGGAACAACAACAAAAACGTATCGCAGCGCGTGAGAGTCCTCCCGCTTTGCGAAAGGTGAACAAGCTATCAGCTGGCGGTCCCTGGGTCCCGGGTCGCGCTACCCACCGCACGCGCATGCGCAATGGGCTCAGGCTCGGACGCTTGCTTCTGTTCCCTCCCCCTACCCAGACCCGCTTACAATCCTTGAAGGAGGTGGCGGAGGCCGTCTGCCAGTCCTTCTCTGACTGATCTTTGACCCCATTGCTAGTGCCCTAGCAGAGCTCTCCTCACCTCCCCTTGCCTCTCCTCCACCGCAACAACTTTCTGGGGAACCCAGGAACCAGGACTAGCCCTCTGGCGCGGCGCCCCCAGGGCCTCCAGTTTCCCTGAATGGGCACGCCCCGAGGGGCGTGAGGAGGAGGCGGGGCGGACTTTGGACTCCAGTCCAGAGACTGCCCCCTAGGGAGCCGGAGTCCGAGCCTGCAGCCTTGTCAGGTGGTGAGGGAGCCATGTCGGCGGGGCTGGCGCTCTGGCCTGAGGTGCAGGACATCTGCACCTCGCTGGGGCTGATGCTGTCGGTCGTGCTGTTCATGGGGCTGGCCCGCGTGATCGCTCGGCAGCAGCTGCACAGCCCCAAGGCCCATGCCTTCGCTTTGGAGTTTCTGGCCACATTCCAGCTCTGCTGCTGCACCCACGAGCTGCAGCTACTCAGCGAGCAGGACCCCGCGCACCCCACCTGGCCGCTGACGCTTATCTACTTCTTCTCTTTGGTGCATGGTCTGACTTTGATGGGCACCGCCAGCAACCCGTGCGGCGTGATGATGCAGATGATGTTGGGGGGAATGTCCTTCGAGATGGGTGCAATGAGTCTGTTGGCTCAGCTGATTAGTGCTCTATGCAGCAGGTACTGCATAGGCGCCCTGTGGAGCCTGGGTCTGACCAAGTATCACGTCAGCGAGAGGAGCTTCTCTTGCAGGAATCCCATCCACGTCGACTTGGTCAAAGCGATTATCATAGAGACCATCTGCTCCTTCATATTCCACAGCGCCTTGCTGCACTCCCAGGAGATCCGAACAAAGCTTCGTATCCACCTGCTGGCAGCACTCATCACCTTTTTGGTCTATGCAGGTTTGTTACTCCCACAAAACGCTCAGCACGTCCAAGGCCTCTAAGACTTGAGGCTTTACCAAGATACATTTGAAACCCCTCTGTAATGTAAATATTGGTATCTCTATTAGTCTAGGAGCTCTGGTAGCATAGTGCCTAAAGCACTTGACTGCTAACCAGAAGGCTGGCGGTTCAAACCCACCAGCCACTCCTTGGAAGGAAGGTTGGGCAATCCTACTTCCGTAGTGATACTGCCTTGGAAACCCAAGGAGGGGTCGCTATGAGTCGGGGCCGACTCGACGGCAAATAACAACAACAGCAACTATTAGTCTAACAATTTTTGCAGTAACTCTTAACTGACAGGGCCGACATAGATATCCCTCATTCAGTGTTTTGAACACCCAGAGGAAAGAGTCATTTTTGACTCTTGTTGAAACTGAGATCTTGTGAGATATTGCCAAGGGTTCAAATATCCTACAAAGGGATTGTCTTAATGATAGAAGCAAAAGATAACTTATCAACTCCCTCCTTCCTCATGCCAGTGTGATATGGATCCTTTCTGACACTCTTAAGAAAGATGATCCTAGGTTGTAAAAGTTCCTTCCAATTTTAAAGCACAAGACACAGGATTGGCTTAGTAGTGAGCACTGGGGGTAGACATTCTGTAGTTCCCTTTCCTATTTTTTAATACAAAAATTACTTAAAGTTGTTTATTTCCTATTTCCTTAATTTTGAATTGTAATTAAAAAAAACCCTTTTCAATGGCCTATAAAGAAACACATATATTTTAAAATTAAAACTTGCTTAAAGTTAAGACATTTTTAAAAAAACAGATAACTGAGAAACCTGTCAATTTCTTTTGAACTATGTTTACCTTGACAGATCTCAGAAGCAGTGGGTAATCTGTGTATTTTTAATGGGACAAGGAAATCCAAAAACGAATGATAAACTGTGTCATTTTAAATGATTAAAAAAAAAAAAATAAAATATCTTCACTGGGAGTATATCTGAATTATAAAATGTTCTGGAGACAGAAATCTAACAAAAGGAAATTTGTGGTAATAGTCTTACCTTCTGAGCACTGAAAGTGAAACTATGAGTAGTTGAGAGCCTTAAGGAAAGGACTCCTAATTGATATGCTTGATCCCCTAGGGTAAAAACAAAAGACCTCCCAACCCATTTCCCTTTCTACAGATCTAGTATCATTCTTTCACTAGACACAGATGGGGATAAATGGTATTGGAGAGAGGGAAGGGTATGTGTATTTTTGAGAGGTTGGTGAGTAGTTGCATATTTAATTAAAATTTTAGGTTTTGGCTAAAGCAGGAACATCTCCAGTATTTGAACAGAATCATCCCAGGCAAAAAGAGTTATGTCAATGTTCAGTTCTACATTTATACAATTAAAAGCAATAAAAAATTTTTAAAGATTTTTTAAATTAATAAAATGTTACATACATTTGGATCTCTTTATGTACCTATGTCTCTCTTCCCGCTCTTCATTATCCTGTAGTTGATTGTTTTAATACTTTCAGTACACGTTTATGATTTCATATATAATGCTATATATATAAGCCAGTCTCTTTTTTGTAAGTGACAATGATTTTGAGAGATGGGAAGCAAGATAATATTTGAAGTTATAGATAAAGTTATCACAAAAAATCCATAAAATATGAATTTAAGGCATCCAAAACCACTGCTCTTTTTCCGTACCTTCACATTATAGAAATTGAAATTCTTGATGAAGGTACTAATTGATGGGGAGGGGGAGAGAGTAAAGAGATCACTAGAGTTCTCAACATTGTCTCTGCTTTAGAATCATCTGGCGAGTTTCTAAAACATGCTCAGGCGCAGATATGAAGATTTAATTGTTCCAGAAAGGGGCTCACCAGTTACCCTTTTGTTTCCGACTCACGGCAACCCCATGTGTGTCAGAGTAGAACGGTGCTCCAGGTCAGAAGTAGATCACTAGGCCCTTCTGAGGTGCCTCTCGGTGGACCTGAACTACCAATTTTTCAGTTAGTAGCTGAGCCTGTTTGTACCACCAGGGACTCTGGAAGGAGTTTAGGGGATGATATATTTTAAAGTTCCCAGGGGATCCCAATGTGGAATCAAGGTTAAGAACTACCGCTATAGGAATCAAGGACTCCACTGACCAGTTTGGTAGCCAATGTCCATATATGGCTATTTAAAATTTAAATAAAATTAAATATCAGTTCCTCAATTGTAGTAGCCACATGTCAAGTGCTCATGGGCCACATGTGGCTAGTGGCTACAGTAGTGGACAGCACTGGAGACTGTTTGCAGGGGTAAAACCAGATGACAACTCTACATTACTAGTTACAGAAATTCATAATTTACTATGATTTTCCTTTTCTGCCAATATAAGGGAGATAAACCAAAAAAGTAAAACCAAACCTACTACCACCAAGTCAATTCTGACTAATAGCAATGCCGATAGGGTTCCCAAGGCTGTAAATCTTTACAGAAGCAGACCGTCTCGTCTTTCTTTCACAGAGTGGCTGGTGGGTTCTAACCACCAACCTTTTGGTTAGCAGCCCAATGCCTTAACCACAGCACCACCAGAGTTCCTTGAAGGAGATGTTGTTGTTGTTGTTATGTGCCGTCGAGTCGACCCCGACTCATAGCGACCCCTCCTTGGGTTTCCGAGGCAGTATCACTACGGAAGTAGGATTGCCCAACCTTCCTTCCGAGGAGTGGCTGGTGGGTTTGAACTGCCAGCCTTCTGGTTAGCAGTCAAGTGCTTTAGCCACTATGCTACCAGAGCTCAGGAGATAAGGAATTAGTATTTATTGGGCACCTGGTAGATGATGAATTTTTGCTAGGAAATTTATATGAGTTATTTTAGTTAATTATTACAACAATTCACATTATTCCCATTTTAAGTGAGGCTCAGAAAAGTGAAATGACTTGTCCAAGATCACATAGCTAGAATATGGTGGAACCATAGTTCAAACTGACAATGAAGCCCATAATTATTTCATTATCAACATTTCTACTGTGTGTTTCTCACAAATTACAAAATTATTCTTTTACAAATAAGTTTGGCAAATGTTGGATTAAGCAGAGTTTCTCATTTTAAGACTTCACCGAGCCTTTACTATGCTACTGTATATTGTGAAACTCCAGCAGGATGAGGCACACAGTTTTTCAAATGTATGGAATCCTTTTGTGTAGAAGTGTATAGAAGAGAAATACTTTGGGAAATGCAACAGTAAATCATATCATATCATTCTGCATTATTTTCTATGGATATAAGTCACAGCTTTGGAACAGAGGTGTCCCAAATAGCTGTGTCTTGGGACTAGCTGAGTGTCTGTCCTATGAGGCAGAGGTGAGGGTTTTGTAGGACAGATTTAAGAATGGTGTTCTGGTTACCTAGTGCCGCTCTGACAAGAATATACCACAAATGGGATGGCTTGAACAAACAGGAATTTATTCTCTCACAGTCTGGAGGCTTTAAGTCCAAGTTCAAAGTGCCAGGCTCTAGGGGATAGGGGGAAAGCCCCTCGACCTTGGGCTTCAGCTTTGCCTCTTGTTCCCGGCCCACTGAAGCTAGAGGCATCTCTTCACTCAGGCAGCTACTGGCTGCTGAAGCTAACAAGCCCAAGGTTGACAAATAAAATGGCACAGTCCTGATGTTACCAAACTACATGGGAGGCCATTATTTCAAGTCCATTGAAAGTCCCAAAGTCGGCAGAGCATGGCAGGTTGTTCAACAAAGGCACGGCTACATGTAAGGTCCAAGCGTGCCATAAGTTAGAGACCATGCTCAAGGCTTCTCCTTATATACAGGAAGCAGACCACATCCCAAAGGCAGCTACTCAGGTGCTTGTGGTAGATCTCACCATGGAGCTGATTGCCAGTCTCATCATAGGGAATAACTACCACCAGCTGCCCAGTCACTCAACCAGGCCCAGCCAAGTTGACACACAAACATAACTACCACAAATGGATAGGAAGGGAAAAACAGGGAAGAGTTGGCTAAGTCAGACATCATTACAAGTTCTTTTGAGCTGTCTTTATTAAACTTCTAATGGCTAACAAGCTTGGCTGCTGACAGGTTGGAGTCCATCCAGAGGTGCCTAGGAAGTAAGGCCTGAAAAGCTACTTCCGTAAAACCAGCCATTGAAATCTAATGTGGCACAGTTCTGCTCTGACTCACAGGGAGACTCCAGAGTAGGAACAGACTCAACAGTAACTGGTGGTGGTGGTGGTGGTGGTAGTTGTTTAAAATTGTATCATTAGTACAGGTTTGACAAAGGTTGCATGCTGGGAGATTTCTTTAATCACTTGGGCCTTCAGGGCACTCAGAAATCACTAACATGGTCACATCAAAATAACTGAGTATGTATTTTAAGATTATAGAACGTTATTGTCCTACAACATAGTCACAGGCTCCTAGGATAGCTATTGACCTATCAGATCGGTCACTGATCAGACAGATAGTAACTGTGTGGCCATGTGTTCATTGATTTAGCATCCCTTACCCTGATGTGCTGATGGAGGCCACTGAGGTCATTACCACTTACGGTTCCTTCCTGATCCACTAGCTGGGGTTTATTGGATTTCCTAATAAAATTTTTAAAAAAATAATAAAGGAAAGGAAAAGCTGTGTAGTTTGTTAACACATTACAGCCATAAAACTATTTATTAATGCAGATTTCAAACAAATCTTCTTTGGGAAAGTTTAGTTCAATGAACAGGGTAAGAATTACATTCATTTTTTTCATGCATAATTAGTTATTTCACACATCCAGATCATCCTGTTATTCTTGAGAACTGCACCCTGTTTATTTATTTCATAAAAAACTCCAAAAATCCCAAACTCACTGCCATCGAGTTTACAAGGCTGACTTACAAAGCTGTAAATCTTCACAAAGCAGTCTGCCATCTCTTTCTCACATAGTGGCTGGGGGTTTCCACCCATCAACCTCTCGGTTAGTGGCTGAGTCCTTTAACCATTGTGCCACCATGTTGTTGTTTTTGTTGTTAGGTGCCGTTGAGTCGGCCCCTGACTCATAGTGACCCCTCCTTGAGTTTCCGAGGCAGTATCACTACGGAAGTAGATTGCCCAACCTTCCTTCCGAGGAGTGGCTGATGGGTTTGAACCGCCAGCCTTCTGGTTAGCAGTCAAGTGCCTTAGGCACTACGCTACCAGAGCTCCTTGGGCCACCATAGGATCTTAAATTATACATTTGTTTTCTGTATAATTTAACATATGTTAATTTATAATTTAGGTCATATTAAATTATAATTAAATTTAAATTATACATTTGTCTCCCTCCACTAGATGGTAAGCTTTATGAGTACAAAGACCAAAACTGTTTTATTCATTATAATGTATAACCAGGACTTAGCATGTTGTCATCTGGTACAAAGTAAACAAAAGTAAATTAAATAAAATATTTATAGGATGAGTGGATGAATGAATTAGCAAATATTCTATTCACTTAAAAAATCACACAGAAAGAAATACTATATATCTGAGTATACCATATTTTATGTCTAAGGGCTTCCAAAATAAGTCCAATAAATTGTCTGAAGAAACTGTAGTATTTTAGTTCATTACTCCAGTAGTTTTTGTATCTGTTTAAATCATGGAAAATACAAGATTTTAGCTAAGATTATCTGTTGAAGGAAATGGGAAATAAGTCCATCATGTATGTTCTCCTTTAATAAAATAACCATATAAAATAAGTAGTTATTATCAATTTACAAATGAAAAACAGCTTCAAACAAGTCTGATTAACTGAAAACTTTTTTACTATGCCAGTACGGTATATGGTTAAGAGCACAAGCCTGGAGCTGGACTGTGCCTTAGGTTAGATGCTTACTGTGGGTCTCTGTTTCCTCATCTAAGAAATGGAGACTACTACTTTGTACCTCATAATACTATTAGGAATAAAGTAATATATTTCAAGTTATTAGCATAGTACCTGGCACATAGTAAGTACTTGGAAAATATTGTTACTTTATCCTAATAATTTCCCACAGGCTTCCAGAATAACTGGATCACTTTTGCCTAATTGATTTTATGGTTGTTCACAACTCTTTTTGAGATAAGTTCACGAAAATATAAGGTGTAACCATTATACAGAAATTTGTCTATTTGTAAATAAGCCAAAATGAGTTGCTTTTGTACAGAATCTGAGAGCAGAATTCTTCCAGGTCCACAAGAACTAGTCTGGAAACGGCTAGCTAGTTTAGGTGGTTACAACAGCATATCAACAGAATATAAACCAGCATAGAAAAGCAGAGCGTTTGGAGATAAAAACTTTGAAGGTGTCTGCCCAACACTGTCCATGGGGGAGAGCCTGAATCTGTGGAAGACAGGTAGTCTTGTCATTAGAGGTTATTTTCAGCTGTGGAAAATGTTTTATCTGCCCTCATCATGCTCTGAGTGACTCCTGCTTTTGCTGTGATTACATGTAACTTTCTGATGATGGATTGGGCTTCCCAGGGTACACTTACCAGGAAGAGAGTAGAATAGGATGGCAAATATTCTGGTCACTGGAAAGGGCCAGCTTCCACTGTAAATCAGTAAAATCGACATTCTGCCTTATACCCGAGTCTTGTGTGACTTTAATTTGTGTCATTTTATCACAGAGAATGTGATTGCCTTTAGGAATACTGAGAACCATTAGTACCCAAAATTGCCAGGTTTGGGACTAAGCCTTTGACCAAGTGCATGCTGATCTCTAAGGCTCTTGGCCATCAGCTGGCTGGATGGACCTCCCAGGTGATACGGCTTCTTCAACATGCACTTTTGTGTCTTCCCCCTTCAAGTGTCGATAAATACTATAGTAACTTGTTTTTCAAAGCCATTTTCTGATAGTTTTGTGCTTAATGAGTCTCTTTAAATAATTCATGTTTAATTACACAATACATGAGTATGTCCTTGTAAAAAATTGAAACACTGCCAGTACAACTAAAGTGCATTTTGACTGCCACCCTCCACTCCTGTCCTCTTGTTCCCTGCCTACTCTCCCCACCATGGTGATTCTTACTGCATGTATGTGTATCTTTCCAAACTCTTCTTGGTGCATTTATAACCCTATAGAAACTATATATATTATATATATTCATGTGAACATAAAAGATACCATATCTTACTTATCTGCAGTTTGCTTTTGTGGCGGATGGTGGCTGACCAGTGATCTATTCTGGAGATCTATCCATGCTAGTGTAAAGAGATTTTTCTCATTATTTCAAAATGCAGCACAGTACTCCAAAGTAATAATAAGCTTGTTTATTTAGCTATTATCTTGTGGGTGGACATTTAGGTTTTTCCCAGTTCTTTACTACTATAAATAAACACCCTTGTTGTGTTTCCTTGTATGTCAGTACCAGTTCCCTTAGATCGGTGGTTCTAAACTAAAGATGGCTTTGCCCCCCAGGGAACACATGGCAACGTCTGGATACACTTTTGGATGTTACGGTAGTTTTATCTGCAAGGAGTGTAACTACCTCAGGAAAATGTTCAACTCATATACCTGTCTATTGTTGGCTGGAAGCCACAGGCATGGTTTCAATTCCAGACCTGAAGGGCAGCTAAGGGCCATAGTCTCAGTGGTTCCACCAGGCTCTATCGGATCTGGGATCACTTATGTGGCTACATTCAGCTGGGCAGTTGCCTCACTCATGTGGCAGCTGGTGCTAGTTGTCAGCTGGGGTGCCTCATGTTTGTCCATCAGCTTAGACCATCTTACTTATACAGTCTTAGAGCATTTTTCCAAGACAGAAAAAAGTGGAAGCTCATAGGCTTATTGAGGACTGGAGCTGGAATTCAGTGTCAGCCTGCCACATTCAGAATATGCAAAGTGTCACTTCTGCCACATTCTATGGGTCAAAGCAAGTCACAAAGCCAGCTCAAGTTTAAGAGAGGGGAAATAGACTCCACCTCCAGGTGGGAAAAGCAGCAAAGTCAAATTGAGCAGAATGGGTGATGTGAAGATTAGAAGATAAGGGAAGTGTTAAGTGGGCGGTATAATACTGTGTTTTGGACATAATGGAAAGTCTTCAGTATACCATGGCCTGGAATAGCGAAGTAAACTAATTGAGGACACAGTTCATTCAATGTTTATTGATAAATGCCTAAAGAAGTCATAGATCATTTAGTATCATTACTGGTATTACATTATAGGGTAAAGATCTACCTGAATGAGTCCTTATCTTTCTGTCATGCTGTCTAGTACACAGAAACTCAGTAATTTTCTGTGAAATCAAAGTGAAATGACATTTGCCCTCCAAATTCTGTTGACCCTTGGCAGTTGCAGGCTTAACATTCCAGGCTTTAATGTTCAAGAATGATTCTGAAAGTCCATGATAAGATGTCATTGATAACTGTTGAAAAATGAGTATGAATCATGCTGTAAGGCTTGGTGTGCTAGAAAAAAATCCTCAGCCACTACTAAGTGAGCTTAGGTCACTTAGTTATTGCTTAACATCTTCATCTCAACACAGCTTCACTATTCTCAGCCTTAGAGTATAAAATCTCATTAGAGTCACTTAATTTCCAATTCTGTATTTTATGAAGACAATATGCTACAGTAGCATGTCAATGTAAAATTTGTGAAGATCTTGAGATCTTTTTCTCTCTGGCTAAGAGGCAGATTTATGTGTTCAAGTTTCCACTTTCTAAGAACTGACAGAAATGCCAGTCTTAAGGATGCTCTTAGAGTGTACTGAAAGGCTGTCACAGCTCTGAGGTACCACTGGACAGGTAATCCAGTTCCTTTGTTGGGAGATCTACCTTTCTTACTATTCCTTGGCCAGAAATGTAAACTCCTAGGCCCCATGCCTAGGAGCTCTGATGACGCAGTGCCTATTTGACTGCTAACCAGAAGACTGGTGGTTCAAACCCACCAGCTGGTCCCTAGAAGGACGATGTGGTAAAGATGAAGTAAAGAAGAACCTTTACTTCCATAAAAGTCTAACTGCCTTGGAAACCCAGGTGGGGTCATGAGTTGGAACTAACTCGATGGCAGTGGGTTTGGTTTTTGAGGCCCTATACCAGAGAGATACCCTGGGGGTAGAGAATTAATCCTGAAAAGTGACCAGTTAAAATTTATGTTTCTTTCATGACTACTTATAGTTACTTCTTAAGGTCTCTGCTGACAAGTAAAAAAAGAGCCAATGATGTTTTGGTTCATTTTACTTTTTGTTTTTAACACAAAGTTATGCTTTCGTCCAAGAGGATCTAGGGTACTGTATCCATTTTAAATGTATTCTCATTTTTATTAATTTAAATTGATAAATGTTAAGAAGGGCAACCAAATTTCCTGTTTTATATAATGTAGAAAACAGTAATAGAACACATTCACTTTCAATGTGCTTTTTATATGGGAAAAGCACTGGGTTTTAAACTCTTAATGTTTTATGTCCTTTTCTTGCACCTGGCATATTATAATTACACCTTATGATATGCCAGATGATTCTATACAAAGGAAGATTGTACAATAAGAACTTGTTAATATGTAAAATGAAATACTCACACACTGCCCAGTTATTTCCAATTACAAGAAAATATAAGATACATGATTTGGTTATTACTCTGCTTTACATGTATTACAGGAGGAAGTCTAACAGGAGCTGTATTTAATCCCGCTTTGGCACTTTCACTACATTTCAAGTGTTTTGATGAAGCATTCTCTCAATTTTTTATAGTATACTGTCTGGCTCCTACTTTAGGTAAGTGTATTTTTATTTAGTATGTTTGAAAGATTAGGATCTTAAAATATGATACAGATTATCACTGTAACATGTCACTTTCCAAAGCCAGAGTAGGCACAAAAAAGAAAATGGTAGCTAACATGTTGGAAATAATTTTATTTTGTATAGTATCCTATAAAATGGTTTGTATTTTAAAAGAAACAAAATTATCTAGTTAAAGCTGGATAGATTCAGGTATGATACCACTTTAAGGAACCCTGAGACATAAGGACAAAAAAAAAGGAAGAATGATTACTTCCATTCAAAAATAATTTCTTTTTTTACAAAAAGAATTTGTTTCATCGAATTTGTGAGCAACAGTTAAAATATAATTTGGTTTATTTGACTCATTTTGCAGAAAAGCATCTCATGAAACAACATACACTTTTAATAAGTGTAGTTTTCAAATTATCCAGAAGTTCCATTCCTGCTATTTTCTATCTGGATCAAATATATAAAACTTTACTATAAAGATGGGTCAGATAACACACACACACAAAATTCGTATCTTTAGCCATAATATGCATTTTAGCTATATAAATTATTGGCATTTCTTCATTTTGTTTACTAATCTGTGTTTCAAGCCTGTGATTATAATTCTTAACTATAAATTAATATGAGGATTCTGGCCTCACTTTTGGTCCACAGTTAACATTTTCTTGTTTGTTGTTTGTTTTCTAACATTTTTCTTATTGGAAAAAAGAAAGGGATACACCCAAGGGAACACTGGCATAAGTTTAAACAGCCATCACACTCTGCTTCTTCTATTCAACTTCTATTCCTTTATCACCCATTATTATGTTCAACAATACTATGTACAGGTCTCATCACAAAAAATGTCAGAGAAAACCTGCATTTTGAAGCTCCCTGAAAAGCTACTAGTGGCAGCTTTTTCAGTTCTACAGATTGCTAATATTTCCCAATAATAACGTCTTTAAAGAAAAAAATTGCATTATTTTTTATTTTTTAGTAAGTTAAAAGGGTGATTGTAAACTAATTAGGCAGGTGTACTGGTAGTACATTTCATCTACTACTACAAAGAACATTAAAAAGTACGCCTTCCAGGAAGAATCTTAAGAAATATCAGAAATAATGACCATCTCTGTAAAAGAACCATGAATTTTTTTCTTAAAAGAGGTTTTCCAAGCCAAATCACTTAAAAACTTCTTCCTGGAAGGATACACTGAAAAAGTCTCATGATAGGCAAAAAAGGAATAACTCCTCCCCCACAAGAAAATGACTAGACAGTGGTAGGGTGGGCAGAGCAGCTTTATTATATTCCCTTTGTATTAGTGTACACCAAACAGGAAGCTCACATACTACTTGTGCCCATTACCAAAAGATTTTAAAGAACCATGTATCCAAAAATAATCCAAACATTCAAACAAAAAACGAGTGTACTTTACTTCTTTGCTTCCTATGCAATCTTTGACAAGTGGAATTGGGATCAATTCTCTTTTGTAACTACATATTGCCTTGTTTAGCTTGTCAAAAATATACATGCAGAAATTTTTTCCTAGTTGGCCTAAGGATCCATAGCCTTTTTCTAAATAGACCCAACATAAAATTTCTGTTGTAGTTTTTGGTTTAAAGAGTCATGTTCCTACATTTCTTTAAGTGCTTTATGAATGAGAAATAATAAAAGTATCTTTTAATATACATGGTTAAAAGACATACTAGTGAGTAACTGGCAGTGTTTAGAATAGCTTGCCATTCAATTTTGTAATAAATTGAAGTTACGTTCCCACTGGGGGGAAAAACGGGGGCCTGAAATGAAATAAAGTCACAAACTCAAAGAAAAATAAGGAATTCTAATTTTACAAGGGTCATTCAAAGAGCTAGGTGAGTCATTAAAAAAAAAAAAAAAAAAAGCCAAAATCAAATTAGGCAATGTGATGAAGTGAGAAAGATGAATCATCCCAAGATAGACTCTTCTTTCCCTTCCGGAGCAAGCAGAAAGCAAACTATTCTTGGGGTCACAGTCCTTACTCTCTCCTGTTCCTTTTCATAACAGAGAAAATTATAATTCCTCAACTGGCCTCTGCAGTCTACCTAAATTAACTTAAAATGTTAGAAATTTGACAACAAGAATGTTTACAGAATTAATTCTCCATTAAAGCATTTCATACCATGAAAATTGGCATATTCTGTTTGCATCTATGAAATAGTGATTTGTTTTAGAAAAAAGTTTTAAATGTATTGTCTTATTTTCTAGCTTTGACTTTATAAAGAAAATGACAAAATTAATGGGTCAGTTAACTTAGAGATAGTCTTAATTCTCTAGTGCTGCTATAATAGAAATACCGCAAGTGGATAGATTTAACAGACAAGAAATGTATTCTTTCACAATATAGGAAGCTACAAGTCTGAATTCAGGGTACCAGCTCTAGGGAAAGGTTCTCTCTCTGTTTAAGGTCCTTGCCTCCTTTCATCATCTGTGGGACTGACTCCCCTTAGAGATCTCTATCTGTCTTGGCACCTATTAGCCCCTGGGTCTAGGAGATTCTCAGCACAGGAACCCTGGGTCCAAAGGATACACTCCACTCTCAGCTCTTCTTTCTTGGTGGTACTGAGGTCATCCTTCTCTCTCTGCTTCTGTCTTTCTCCTTTTATCTTTTTAAGATAAAAGGCAATGCAGGCCATACCCCAGGAAAACTCTCCTTACACTGGATCAGGGCTGTGACTGGAGTAAGGATGTTGGATTCCACACTAAATCTGCCTCATAACTCATAATATAACTTAATCCTGTCTCATTAACACAGAGATCAGGATCTATAACACATCACAAATAGAGGATAATTTTATCAGATCACATCATGGGGGACGATTACATCATTACATAACTGCAAAACCACTAAGAGGCATGGCCAAGTTAACATATATTTTTTGGGGGCATAATCCATGACAGGGGATTCCCCACCTCACCCCACCCCCATTTAAAGCCTCTGGTTGCAAAACAGACTCATCTTTTTAAAATATGTTGTGGTATCAAAGTACTGCCAAACCTTGAGGTTTTCTGTTGTTGCCAAAAACAAGTAAAATAAATTCCTATCTGTATATGACAAAAACTTTCTTAATTTGATCTTAAACTGACCTACAACTTTAAATGTAAACACACTAAGATTAAAAATGAAAAAAAAAATTAACCATTGCAGGCTTCCCCTTTTAGATAGTGATTGATCTCACTCCTCTCTGTCCCTATTTGCCACTGAAAAATTAACCAACCACTACATGCTAGATTTGTCTGATGTAACCTCAAAAACGAAGATTTAGTAATATGTGAGTTTTTCACATTTTTATACTGAAGACTTAAAATTTCAGTATCGGCTGAAATTAAACATTATACGTCATGCATCTCTAAAAGCTATTAATGGTTGAGATTAATGGAAAAAATGCAAGAAGGGATAAAGTAACCCAACATATTAACCATGCCAAGTAAAAACTCTAGAGTGCTCAATTGCTTTATTCTTTGAATTTCTCCCTGGGGCATGGAGGGATAGTGTGTGTTTGTCATTTTAAAGAGGAACAAATAGAGACTCAAGTCCAGAGTCCAGAGTTTCTCACTTAGCAAGTCAGCAAGGAGCCAGAACTAAAACTACCAATGTTTGGAATTTATCCTTTGAATTCATTGTTTAGGTCCCAGTAGTTTTACCAAGAATATAGTGGTTCTAAGTATTCAGAGTTGAAGAAAAATAATGTAAGAATGTTAGATTTAAAAATCAATGTTTTGTGTAGTCTCAGACAATTCTTTTAAACATAGCTTTCAAAATTTCTAGGTGTATAATTGTATATCATTTTAAATTATGTTCACTGAGTGATTATGTTTTTCCTTGAAACCTATTTTATTTTACTGTATTTTGTCTTTCAGGTATATTGTTGATGGTTTTGATGTTCAGCCTTTTCCTTCCCTGGCTGAATAACAACCATATAATTAATAAAAAGGAATGACTATTTCAAAAAACTCAGACTAAGTTACATGACAATCAAGCTGGATGTGATAAAGGTTTTATCACCTCATATTCAACACACTGGCTGCACTGGATCCTTCGATGTTAAGCTTCCTTTGAGGCAGCTACCTTATAGGTTTCACCACTGGGACTTAAAAAAATAGTAATAATAATGTGAAATTCGAGGTATTCTGTGTTTCTCAGTTAAGACTTGTTCTTTTGAATGATGCTGCTAGAAAAGACTCATTACATTAAATATAAACCTCAAGTGACAGCTGTTAACCTTGATGAAAAAAACAGTACAGAGTGAGAAGGGAAAGTGATGGTGGAGCGAAGAAAGAGTGTGTGTATATCAAATTTACCTGAATGAACAGGAGTTTTAACCAACATACAACCAGTCATCCTGACATAACTAGAGGGAAGCTACTTTTCAGCCCCCACCTCACACAATGATACCATCAGCAGTATCATCTTTCAGTAGGAGAGTTGCTTTTGGAAGCAGATTATATGTCTACTTATACTCAAGGGCCTTCCTAAATTTAAAACATTTTCTAATATCTAAAATGCTTTCAAGTAGACAGTCTCACTAGCTTCAAGAAAGTCATTACTCTTCAAAGAATAAAATAAAGCACCCATACCAAGTCAAGATATAAACTTTCACATTCTCATTTGATCCTTTAACAACTACCTTATGAAGTAGGTAGGACATGTATTTTTAATCTGTTTTACAGATAAGGAAACTAAGTCTAGAGGGGTTCTCTGCCCTGCCCAAGGTCACATATAGCCAAATAGCACCTTTAGACTTTTACTTCAATTCAAAAATCTCATTTGATCATCACTATGACTAGTAGAAAATCTGAAGGTTTTGAAGAAACATTATATACTTTATAAATACTGAAATTTTTTAGGAATTACCTAGTTTTGTTTTGTCTTGAAGTCTGCAGAATCCTCAAGTTTTCCTATAATAGAAGCTTTCTATTATTATATGAGGTCAAGGTTAAATGTTTCTCTTCAAAAGAAATTCCATTATCAGGGACAGAACTGAAAGTAAAAAAATAGGGAGGGAAATATGGTCTGAGTAATAATAAATTAAAAGGCAACTGATAAGCTGCCAAGTAATTTAAGTGCTGCTTGATAATCAGCTTGTAGATAGTCACTGTACTTAGACTTGCAGACTGAGGTGTTACTAACCCTACCCAGCGAGGTCAAGATAGCCGGTTTGACAATTACAGACTTTTACTCTTGAACTTACAAAGATATGTATCATAGTTGTTTTATTTTTAAAAAGAGTTCAAAAAATTGTGACTGAATGGCTAAATGCCATTTCTGACATGGTTTAATTGGCCTACACAGTATTTTACAAACAACTGGAGCTAAAATTTTGTCTTTTTCACACAAAAATCCTTAATTCTACCTTCTTTTGAAAAATCAAAAGATCTAGCAAAAGTAGTCCTGAATTCTGACATGGCATCACGACAAAGTAATGGTTATTCTCTTTAAAATGGTCCCTTGCCACTCCCTGTATCTTCTAAACATGAAGCTGTGTTTCACAGCTTTTCCCCATAATACAGAAATACTTTTCACTCATGGTCTTTTTTTTTTTTTTTTAACTTTTTATTGAGAGTTGGTTGAAATTTTACAAAGTGGATTTGTTTTACATTCAACAGTTAACACACATTTTGTTTTGTGACACTGGTTACATTCCCCAGCCTTAACATCTCACCTCCCACTTCCTCCTTGTGGCTGGTTACTTTCTCTGTGTCCTTCCTGCCTATGCATTCCTGCCTCCCCACTATTCTCCCTATGCAAATGCTGCCTTTCTGATTTCCTATGGTGGACTGTTCTGGTGCAGGTGTTCAGCTCAGGCCTGTTATTTGGCTGAGAGTTAAGCCACCGGAGTGAGTTCAATTCCAGGCCCAAAGGGTGACATGGGCCATAGTCTCAGAGGTTCCGCCAGTCTCTATCAGACCAGTAAGCCTGGTCTTTTTTATGATACTGAGTTTTGTGGTACATTTTTCTCCCACTCTATACAGGATCTCCAATTTTGATCCCTTTCGGAATGTTTGTTACTTATAGCCAGGCACCATCCAGTTCTGGTCTCAGGGTCATACAGGTTGAGGTTTTCATGGTCCTTTAGTTCTTTGGACTAACTTGTTTCTATGTGTCTTTACTTTTCCTCACTCTTTGCTCTGGACGAGGAGAAACCAATAGTTGCCACTAAGATGGCCACTCGCAAGCTTTTAAGACTCCAGTCACTACTCACTGAAGATACTTTTGTATACCATGTTGTGTGAATTGAGTTCGATGTCCCCTGTGACCAAACATCCCAGCTTTCAGGCCCAGTGACCCACTCCTTCCAAGTTCTTATTTGCGGCTAAGAAGTTATCCTAACTTTGCCACTTGTTATGTTTTAATTGCATATGGACATTTTTATAGCACATACAAATATGTATGTAGGAATATCGTTTGCCAAGACTGTGTATGGTCATGGGTATATTCCCATTTGTCTAGCAATACCTGTCTTCCTATGTATCCACTATAGATCAATATTTGCTTTTACCAACAATGCAGTGTTGTGTACGCAGAAGTATTTGCCTTCACTGCCTGTACATGTTGTGCACCTCTCCGTGTCTTCCTTTATTCCCTAGTGATACTGTGTTAGCCACGTGCTTCTGTTACACTGCTTTTCCCTTCACCCTTATCAAACCTGTTTCTTAATTATTACGTCTCTTTCTTGAAGACTCTGCAGTCTAAGAAAAGTAAGAATATTAATTCATGAAAAACACCTAGCCCTCTAAGCTTCCCCTAACAGAATTTGAGCGCATGACGTCTGATGACACTGCTGCCCCTGCAGCCCTCTCAAGTGGTGGCTGCTTTCTCTCCCACACCTCTTATTTCACTGGGCTTGGAGGCAGAGATTTCCTTGCCTCTCATTGCTGTTTCCCGGCCATTCTCTTCTCCCTCCATTAAAGACATGTCATCAGACCATGCCATCTGCTACCTAGGTATTTCTTGCTGCACCTAGTGTACCCTCCCTTCAATTTGCTCCTTGTTCCTTTAAGATCTTAGTTCCTGTTTCATTCTCATTCATCACAATACTACTACAGAAACATTTCCTGGTCATTTCAATACCCACATAGATGATCCTTCCAATGTCTTGACCTCTCAAGTTCCTTATTATCTTCTCTTCCACTTTGCATCAGCTACAATTTTTGTCATAACCTTGAATTACTCCCATGGTAATTTCATTCAGTCTTTATAGTTGCTTTATAACAACTATATCCTAATGACTATCAAATTTATATTATTACCAGTTTGTACAAGTGTCCCGAACTCCTGACTCATATCCATTAGTTAACTGGATGTCTCTATTTGGTTGTCTAACAGACTTCTCAAATTGATACTTTCAACTCCAGTTATTTCTCACCGCACAACTGATCTTTTCTATTGATGGGCATTTCTAGTTAACTCACTGTTAAAACAATGCTTTGGCAAACGTTCTTGTGCATGTCTTCTCTGCACATACGTGTTTCTCTAAAGTGGAACAGGCTTTCATACTTTTTATTATGGTCCACTAATACAGTATAGTTCAAGGCACCATCTACTCTTGCCCACATTAATGTAGTAACTTCCTATTTCTACTGCCTAAGTGATCCTGTTAGAACAATCAGACGATGTTACAGCTTCCCATTTCAAACTAAAAGGACTGTATTCCTCCAATTAACTATCAAAAACCACAGGTAACTGGTGGTACAAAAAAAATATTCATGTGCTGGGGAAAATGGCATATGAACCAACAAAACTTTGGGGTTAAGCCAACAACAATGCCCTAGTTTGCAATTGTCTGTGAGCTAATTCACATTATTAAAAAACATACAGTAACAGAACTGACTTCATTGGAATGCTAGAGTCAGAATAATGACAAATTTTAAACATCCAAAAAGCATACAGGAAGATCCCACAAATCTTGGGAACACTCCTCAGCTTATGCAAAGTTTCAGATAATTATTCTGTAGCTTTACTACCACCACAGCATAAGCCTTCAGATCCCGGCATCTGCTATCTGCCGCAATAGCCTCTTAATTAGTCTTTTTGCTTCTAGTCCTTCTTGAGCTAATTACTCATTGTTCAAAAGAGACTAGATATTTTGGTAGAATTTAATTTATCTAATGATTCTAGATTAGATCACTACTACAGTATAAAGTTAATTCTAATACAAATCTAATTTTAAAAATATCTCTAGGGTGGATGAATCTACATTTGGATAACCCATCTTCTGTAAGCCATATATAGTGACCAAATTCTGAGCCTTTTTTAAAGCCCTTAGCATTCTAACAGAATTATTGCCATCTCTCCAGAAATGAAATGGAACACATTTCCACATCTACCTTAATTGCTCTGTAGATTTTTAAATTTAAAGCTTTATGTATATTCTAAAAGGTGAGTTAATACTGTATTTGTAGCTTTTTGGTTTATGAAAAGAAATAATTAGCACTGTTGATAATTAACATCTACTTAGAAAGCTTCTTTTCGAGGCATTTTTTTGTTCTAACACATGTTGTTTTCCATGTACTGTTGTTGTTAGGTCCCATCAAGTTGGCTTTGACTCACAGTGACCCTGTGCACAACAGAATGAAAAACCGCCTGGTCCTGCGGCAGCCTCAGAATCACTGCTGCTTGAGGGCGTTGTAGCCACCACTGTGTCAATCCATCCTGTGAGGGTCTTTCCCTTTTTCACTGACCCTCTACTTTACCAACCATGATATCCTCCTCCAGAGAACGGTCCCTTCTGACAACATGACCAAGGTATTAGAGAGACGAAATCTGCTTGCTTCTAAGGAGGATTCTGGTTGTACTTCCTCCAAGAAAGACTTGTTTGTTCTTCTAGCAGTCCATGGTACATTCAATACTCTTCACCTTTACATGTATAAAATCTCTAAAATACTCCTAAAAAGTACTAGTTAGCCTATGTAGTGAAAGCTTGTTGGTTAGCCTTCTTATCCTCAGGTTATATATCTCTATTTTCTTTTTAAAATTAAAACCAAAAATTCTGACCAAATTTATTGACATGCAAGTGAAAATATGTTCCATTTCTTTCCTGGAAAAATGGCAGTAATTTTATTAGAATCCTAGTAAGGACTACTGCTCACAATTTAATAACTGTATTATACACTGGCTACAGAAGAGGGACTTCTGTGTTCTAGATGTGGACTCACCCATTCTAGAAAATACTTTTGAAGTAAGATTTGCATAAGAATTAGC